GTACCAAAATGAAAAATGGAAAAGAAGAAGAAGAAGAAAATTAATCATACAAAACTTTTTCTTGTAGACAATGAACTTTCATTTATGCATTATTCTTGTCAAGGCACAATTTTTTTTTTAACTATTAATCCTCGAGGCACAGATTTTGTAGGTGACATAATGGTGAGCTTTTGCATCCGCCGATTGTACATGGAAAATGATGTAACTGGCAATCTGCTAAAGAATTGGATGCTAAAAAACAAGTCTGATGAAAAAAAAAGAAAGTCATAAGGACAACCAATATTCTTGATGACAAACAAAAAATAAACAGTAATTGAAATATAAAAATTGGCCATGAAAATCTTGCACTCCCTATGTGCCATAATTTGAGATTTTTTGTTTTTTGGAATTCAAACTTTTTAAGAAAAAAAATGTAATTATTAAGTTTGAATGTGATGATTTTGGATGAACCTTAAACATGGTCTTCACATTTAAATTCTATGAGTCTAGTGGCACGCAAAAAGTATTTTTTTTCAAATGGTAAAATGGAAGCTTGAGGAGTTGTGTTGATTTTGAAAAGATGATTCTTTGTTTGGATTATCCAAAAGGTGAAAACATGACACTAGAAAAGGATGGAGGGAGGATAAAAGTAATAGTTGCTCAGTTATTTTACTATTTTACTACTATTTTATTTACCTTTTTATTGTATATTTTTCAAAAAGCTTCCTTTTGTTTAGTTAAATAGAAAACCGAAGACCATGTACTTTATTTGTTTTCCATTGTTTGATATCAATAGGGCAACAAGTAATTTTAAAACTAGTGGAACACATTATAAAAATTCATAATTTTTCAAAGAGTGAGTTTGTAGGACTTTTTGGGGGGGGGGGTGGGGGGCATGGTTCCCCACTTTAAATCCACCACACAACTATTAAAGTCTCCCAAGCGTAAAATTTTTTTAAATTGGAAATTGTGAAAATGTAAAGGAATAATAAATATGGCCACATGCTATACAAATTAAAATTAATCAAAGCCATAAATAGGTATAATTATTCTATAATTAGAAGGTTATATTAACTTTGTTATAGGGGCTGTTCTCATTTTCTTTTACATCTAGATTTTAGATTTTTTTTTAAAAAGGTCAAAATCGTGAATATACCTATGAGTTAACTTTAATTGATTCTGATTTTTTTTCTCTATAATGACATTCAATGATTAACTTTTGCAAAATTTAATGCAAACAAGCATAGGCTAAAAGAAGCATGAATGCTAAAACAGTAAAAGCGGTCAGGAAAAATTTCTATATTGGGAATAAAAGATGAAACATCTTAAATGACCCCATAAAGTTTTGATTCTAAAATTACTCACTAAAAATATGCTAATCACAAGTGAATTTCAGCTCATAACAATAGGTAGCTTTGAAGGTGTCCGATTGGTTTTGTTAGAAAAAATTCATATTGATGTTCAATGGATACCTACATAAGCAAATAAGGTTGCAAACTACGCTAAATCTACCAATCTAACTGAATCTCTTTGGAATTCCTCCCGGCTTTGTCAAATAAATTAAATTGTGTTGTATGATTCCCAGCTAACTTATTAATAACTTGTTTGGATAGGAATATTTGCAAAAAAAATTTCAAATTTTTTTCTACTTACATCATGAACACAATTTCCAACCCACCTTTTTATCTAACATATATTATATCAGAAAAAGTGTTACAGTAATTATTTTAAAAAAATATATCAAAGAACCTCCTATTCAAACAAACTCATTGGTTTCACGTTTTCTATATACAAATACATATACATGTACATGTATATATATATATATATATGAATTCAGCCTGGCCATAAAAATTTCAATAATTTCATAAAGTCCCATGTCTTGACGTAATATATATGTGGGTAAGATTGAGCAGTAATATCCATTGTTTTCATTATATATATACGTGGGACTTTATGAAATTATTGAAATTGTTATGGCCAGGCTGAATTCCTAATTTGAACCTAAGCTGATATCATATCCTATCCAATGAAGGAAAGAAAAATCCTGAAAATGACAATAGGAGACTTATGAATTAATGAAAATAACGCTTATGAAATTAATTAATCTCCGCCAAAATTAAAGATGTGAAATCTAAACTAATTTTTGTAAAGAATTTAATCCTGTGTCTGTGTAACGAGAAAACAACAATTGCTGACTTTCATATGTTGTACGGATATTCTGGAGTAGTACTTGTTGCTTCAGTGGCCACAACGGATCCCTCAACTCAATGTTATTAACAAAATCCCAATGAGTCTTTTGACTGAACAAGAAAAGAAATTAAATCCCACTACAAAGCCGTACCTACCTCTGCAAAGCTGATCTACGTTGAATGGCCCAACTTGGGAAGGACAAGCTGCCAATGACAATGACCAAGTCACCAACAAATGAAAGAGACGCCATCAATTAATGCCAGACTTGATTGTTTCTCCAGTTAATTTCACGGACAAATAAATCTTGTCATTTCTTTGAATACTCAAGTAGAAATTTTGTAAGATTACACATACTTTAGCAAACTACGCTAAATCTACCAATCTAACTGAATCTTTTTGGAATTCTCCCCTGACTTTGTCAAATAAATTGTGCTGTATGATTTCCGGCTAACTTCTTAATAACGTTGGTTTTGCATTTTCTATATATATATATAGACACACACACACGCAATCTTCCCCACATTTATATTCCGTGTAGATATGGGTCTTTATGAAATTATTGAAATTGTTATGGCCAGGCTGAATTCCTAATTTCAACCTAAGCTGATATCATATTCTATCCAATGAAGGAAAAAAAAAGGTCCTGAAATGACAATAGCTGACTTATGAATTAATGAAAAGAACACTTAAGAAATTAATTAATCTCCACCAAAATTAATGACGTGGAATCTAAATTAATTTTTGTAAAGAATTCAATCCCGTGTTTGTGTAATGAGAAAGCAACAATAGCTGACTTATTCATATGTTGTACGGATATTCTTGAGTAGTACTTGTTGCTTGAGTGGCCAAATGTCGAGTTTGTTTGGATAAGAATTTATTTGGATGATTTATTTGATCCAGTTACTGTAGTACTTTTTGTGATGTGATATATGTGAGATAAAAAGGTGATTGGGAATTGTGTGTATGATGCAAGCAAAACAAAATCTGAAATAAATCTTGCAAATTTTCTTTGTCCAAACAAACCTTAGCGAAATCCCAAAGAGTCTTTTAACTGAACAAATAAATCTTGTCATTTCTTTGAATATTCAAGTAGAAATTTTGTAAGTATGTGTCTTGGCATGTCGAAGAGATGGTTGCTGTTGGTTATTAGTAGAACTTTAAGTACTTTCATCCGTTAAAGGTCATATAGCTGCTCAAGTGTCTTTGAGTGACAAATTGGGATTTAATGTCTCTATATAGACTCAAGGCTCCAAAATTGGTTCAGCCCAATGTTGTCCTTCGGTTCGATAAATTTATGAGAATTAAGAGTCAGCCACTTTATTTTCAAGTTTGGGTGTAGGTTCGAAAACTCTCTCATGTTACAGCCTTAATATTTCATAATTTTGTCATCAAACAGAGCAATTGATTATTGAATTTTTCATTCGGCACTCGTTAAAACATTCAAATCATACCTGAGTTATTAAGTAAATGCATACATCATATTTATTATACCTCTGAATTGGGATACTTTCCGATTGTCAGGAAAAGACCCTTTAAAAGTCTCCTATGCACTAGGTCAGGAGCTCAAACCCCGTTTAGTATATCACACAAGAAGTATAGTACTTCTTGTTTTCAAAAAATTCAGAAAGTGCAACAGTGTACTTGTCTAGTTTGGTTCTTCACGCTCCTAACTCCCACACAAATCTCTTTAAACTCCTCATAATAGAGTAGGAGTAGGAGTAGGAGTAGGAGTAGGTTAGATATTTTTGCAGATAAAAAAAGAAAAAAATTGTGATGCTTTTCCAAATTAACTATACTTTTCCAATAAACTAGCACCTGAGCCCGCTTTTATCAATTGCCAATGGGTATCCATTATCCAAACTATTTTTTATTTACTTTACACAAACGAATGTTTGTTTCTGTACTCAACTGACATTCTACAAGACATAACATATTTTAGGTGAGATAACTTGGTTTCCTTCATGCATGAATCGAAGAAGAAAATGATTTATCAACATCCTCACTACAATTTGAGGTAACTATGCCACTGTATAGCCAACTTGCAACAAGATTTCACATATTAACGTATAATAATCCTAAATCAATATATCTTATTAAAACAGTAGGAAAATATGCTGGCTTTTGATCTATTCAAATTTTGTACTGGTGGTAATGTTACTAATTGTGTCCGTGGATAAGTGATGCTTACTAAACTTCTTATCTAGCATCTTATTCTATTCGTATATTTCCCCTTCTTTGATCTTCCACGACAAGAATGGTTCAAATTATTTGAACAGCTCGCTATATATCTTCTGCTATAAATGGTTATCGTTGGCTTTTTTTTCTTAATTCCACAAGTTTGTGAAATACAAATATTGGACGTGGTAAAATCTCAATTTAGCTACACAACTTTCTTTGCCATCCTCCTTGGCTTCCTCCTTTTGGCAACAACTGTCTGAGAAAATAGTCCAGGAAACTGAAATAGATCATAGGTATGAGAAAATAATGCTATGAGATGTAAACAATTACTCGATGAACTCAAAAAAAAATCCAAAAAATTGAACGCCATCGTCCTTTACTAGCTAATCTTTGGTTGGCAGAAAATAAAGCACAAGAACGTGCATTGAAAACTTGAGGGATATAGGGCTAAAGTATCAGTATCAATCCTGAGCATAAAATTTGGACCATGTGTGTGTGTGTGTATATATACATATATATATATATATATATATATATATGCAAAGTGTATATGTATCATGCATACAATACCTCGATTATCAGCATTCCATTGCTGCCATCCTTTCTGCCTCGTGGCTTCTACATTCTAAGTTGATGTACCGAAATGAAAAATGGAAAAGAAGATGAAGCAGAAAATTCATCATACAGAACTTTTTCTTGTAGACAATGAGTTTTCATTTATGCATTATTCTTCTCAAGGCACAGGTTTTTTTTTTTTTTTAACTATTAATCCTCGAGGCACAGATTTTGTAGGTGACATAATGGTGAGCTTTTGCATCCGTCGATTGTACATGGAAAATGATGTAACTAACAATCCAGCAACTAGATGAGTTTATAGTTCTACACTTCTACATAGCATAGCTGCTAAAGACTTTAGCTTCGTGACATTACGCTAATGCTCGTTACCTTTTCTACTAAAAGAAGTTAGAAATTGCTGGACTTAAAATTTTCAAATCTTGTAATGTTGTTGATGCTTTTTTTAAACTCCTTCTGTAAGCTAATTCTGACTTAGACTTTGTCTTAATTCTTTGAGACTTGTCGCTTTCTCTTAACAATTCAGCGATAAGAAGTTTCAACACAACTACCGATTAGGTTTTGGAAAATTGCACCATCTCTTGCTATAAATAGCTATCATCATTTACTTGTTTTGTCACAAGCATAGCTAACATAAGATATCGGAGATGGCTAAATCTCAATTTAGCTGCGCAACCTTCTTTGCCCTGCTCATCTGCTTCCTCCTCCTCGTACCCAATAGTAAGTTGTAGCTAATCTTTAGTGAGAGAGTTTACACTTCTATAGTCTTAAATGGTGAACACATGCACAGAATGGCGTATATTTGTACATTCCCAAAGTTTTAATTATTTGTCTCTACCTCTCAAATAGAAATGGCTGTCACTAGCAATGAATTAGAAAAGTTATACGTATGTATCATGCATATGTACACTCACAATCAAAATTTTACCAATTAATTTGTATTACATATGCGCTATATGCTTTTCAATAAATGTTTTTGCTCAAAGTTTAGCCCTGTATTCTACTCTTGAATTTTCTCCCGCATTTTTTAATTTCTCGTCACATGTGAATAGACTGCAAATATACATGTGTAGTGTTGCAAGTAACAATACATGTGGCATAAAAGTAGAAAATGAGATAGAGATTGACACAAAAAATGACATAGAGAATCCATACCCTATAATATTAACAAACACTTATCCCCTATATGGACGAGCTCGATCCATCATATATTTGGACTAACTCTACATATTTTGCTTTCTCTTTTGCTTTGTTTCATGCAGAGATGCCAATGGCTGAAGCTAAATTTTGCAAGAGGCCTGCCGAGCACTATTCAGGGACATGTTACCCTAACCGGTGCTACAGTTATTGCAAATCTAAAGAACATGCTTACTCCGGAGAATGTATTTGGACTGGCCAGGGTCATCAACGTCATTATGCTTGCTACTGTGTCTACAATTGTTGAAAGCCTACTATTTGCTACAATTTGCACCGTACTTTGTAATGAAATAAAGGCCAACAATTCACTAGAATTGCGTATGTGCCGCCAATAGTTGTTGTTCCTATGTCAGTCAGTTGCCAATAACGTACGGTCATGTCTGTGTTATCATTGAAACATCACTGCTCAGTGATTATTTAATCAGTATTCATGTGTTTCTGTTACCATCTGTCTTGTATTCATTTAAATATAAATGGACTACCTCTGTCGAAGTATGAGGGCCATTCTGGGATTTCAAATTGTTATGAGTACATGTGATTATTGGACTCTGATAAACACCAAAAAAATCTGCTAAAGAATTGGATGCTAAAATACAAGTCTGATGAAAAAAAAAAAAGAAAGTCATAAGGACAACCAATATTCCTTCTCTCTATTCTTATTCTCTCTAATTTCTTAACTAGTTCATGGCTGCCCTTCAGCCGTCGGCTGAGGGGCAAGGATTATCACCTACCAAAAAAAAATCTTTCTCTCAATTATTTTCTCAGCCGGCAATATCTCCTATCCACATTCAGCAGGCTTCTGTCTACAAGGGAGAAGCTGCGGTAGGTTTTTCTAAAGCAGATGCAGACAAACTTGCAGCGCCGTTTCAATGGGCTTTGGTGGGAAAATTTTCACACGGCCGACCTTCTTTGGAAGATATTCGAAAGTTTTTTGCTTCTTTAAACCTGAAGGATCATGTTTCTATTGGATTGATGGATTATAGGCATGTTCTCATTAAGTGCATGGCTGAAGCTGACTTCAACAGAATTTGGATGCGAGGGATTTGGCAACTGGGTAAATATCCGATGCGTGTGTTTAGATGGACAAGGGAGTTTCATGTGCTTAGGGAATCTTCTCTGGCTCCGGTTTGGGTAGTTCTTCCAGCTCTGCCTATTCATTATTTCGACAAACATTCATTATTCTCCATACTTTCTCCAGTAGGAAGACCACTCTTCCTAGATTCGGCAACCGCAGCTGGGACTCGACCAAGTTTGGCCAGGGTATGTGTGGAACTCGATGTAGCGAAATCTTTTACACAAAGAGTTTGGGTGGCTGTTGAAGGTGAGTCTGGATTCTGGCAACGTATTGTGCCAGAGAATATGCCATTATATTGTTCATCTTGTTCACGTTTGGGTCATTCCCAAGAGCAATGCAAGAAGAATGTAACTGAGGTTGGGTCTCGGTATCTATATAACCAAAACATGAAGCTGCAGAGGGATCTACCATTAGAAGTTAATAATATTCAAGTGTCAAATTTAGACCTTGTAAACAACCCAGATGCTAACTTGAACAAAACAACAGATGCCGTGACTGATTCCGACGAAGTGCAGCATCCTGAGATGGGCAATTATGCTGAAAAACTCAAAGGTGCAGTGGTGGAGGAAGTCTGTACTGCCACAAAGGTTCAGGAAGTTAGTCAGCCTGATGATCACCTTAGTAAGCTTGGAGTATCTAAGTTGTCGTCCAATGCTGAATTTGAACAACCACACAATGATCTTGCATTGGAGCTGCCGATACGTGAGGATCGAAGGGAAATGGAAAACCAGCTGGACAAGGCCCACGGGAATGAATACCAAGGGACCCGTTCTGAAACTAATATAATTCCCACAGACAAACTTCTTTGTAAGGCTGACAGAAATTCTCTTCATCATCTATCTGATCACCAAGTGGTGATAGTTGCTGCATCCAAGCCGACAACATCTGATGTGCAAGGGAATTTTAATACGACTCATATGAGGGAGCAAACACTTGTTGGGGAACAATTGACTATGCAAAAGCAGTTAGAACAGGTCCACGAAAATGATGAAGGGACCCAAGCTACATCGTCTGAAGCATCAAAAGTGAAACTTCAGTCCACTGCCGACAATAACTCCTTGGAGCATCTCTATGTTGAGTTGCGAGGAGTGGAGAATTACGGTCCTACAGAGCATGGGATAGTGGAGGTTAATTCACCAACTGTTGCAGGAAATTTGTCTCCCAGACCGGGTGTCCCACAAGAAAATTTGCCGGAATCATCAGGTCCTTCTTTAACTATTCATCAATCAGGGGTGGCTGACCGTAATCCCAAACAAAAAAGGACAAAAGGTTTGAGGGCTAATTTGCAAACCGACAGAATTTTGCGCTCACGGTCAGAGACATCTTCCAACAACTCATTCCAGGTTCTTTCTCATGATTAATGGCATTTTTTGGAATATTAGAGGAGTAGCTAAAGCACCTAATCTACGAAGATTAATCAATTTAGTACGGACACATCATTTCCAATTTGTTGTGATTTGTGAGCCAAAGTTAGACGTATCTAAAATACAGACCATTCGTCTACGTCTATTATTTGATTACGTGCTTGTTAATTGTTCAAGTGATATTTGGGTGTTCTACAATAATCCTTTCCTTTGCTCGATTGTTGGTAATTCTGATCAGCATATTTCTCTACATGTACAAAGTCCCCTAATTCCTTCTCCAATAATTATGTCCTTTGTCCATGCTAAATGCTCAGTTGACGAGCGGCGTGACTTATGGTCCTCATTGTTAGCTGATAAGCCTAGTTTTCTTCCTTGGTGTATTGGGGGTGATTTTAATGTTATTGTGGCACCTCATGAAAAAAGGGGAGGTCGTCCATTTGCTATAACAGAAGGAGTGGAATTTCTGTCTTTCATGGAGGAGGCTGGAGTATTTGATGTTGGCTTCTCAGGACCCAATTTTACATGGTCAAACAATCGACGAAGTAGAGCTCGGATTTCAAAGAGGTTAGACAGGTTCTTAGTCAACGGGGCATGTCTGGATCTTTCTTATAACATTTCTGTCCTTCACTTGGCTAGACATCCATCTGACCATTCACCGTTAAAGCTCTCATTTGTTGCTCAATCAGATGCTAAGCCACATCCATTTTTTGAATTGTGTGGACGACTAAACCACAACTCTTGGAGGTGATAAGCCAGGCTTGGAATCAAGATGTCAATGGATCTCCGATGCGTGCTCTATGTTCTAAATTATTAGCAACAAGAAAAGCTATTCAGACATGGAACAAAGAACACTTTGGAAACGTGATCGATAATATGCGATCTGCGGAAATGGCGGTGCAACGGGCAGAAGAAGTAGTAGATCAAGATGATTCCGAGGAGTGCCAGATTGAACTCAAAAAGGCTCAGGCGGAGCTGAGACATGCATTATCAATTGAAGAACAATTTTGGAGGCAAAAGGCCAGGGTGAAATGGCTTCGACAGGGAGATACCAATTCAAAGTATTTTCATGCGATAGTAAGACAAAGACGGGCTCAAGCTATGATTTATCGTATCAAAAAAGCCAATGGTGTTTGGGTGGACAATGAAGCTGATATAGCAAGTGAAGCAACCACCTATTTCTCTAAACTTTTCTCGGATTCTTTGGGATCATCTGCAGATATGCTACACCTAATTCCACCTATGATTTCGGGAGAGGATAATGTGAAGTTGGAAGAAATCCCTTCAATTGAAGAGGTTTTTAGAGTCCTGAAGGCAATGGATGAAGAAAGTGCTGCTGGCCCAGATGGATTCACGGGAAAATTTTTTACTTTTGCATGGCCAGTCATCGCCCAAGATGTCTACAAGGCGGTACTCAGTTTTTTCTGTGGAGCAGAACTTCCTCGTTTCATCACCTCTACTTCAATTGTTCTAATTCCAAAGGTGCCAAATCCTCAAGATTTTTCTCAATTTAGACCCATCAGCCTATGTAACTTCTTCAACAAGCTATTATCAAGGATCTTGGCAGACAGAGTGGCGGAAATATTGCCAAAAATTATTTCTCCCCAGCAGACAGGATTTGTGAAGGGTCGTAATATAACCGAAAACTTCCTACTTGCACAGGAGGTGATATCGGGTATGGCGAAAAAGAATAGAGGTGGTAATGTGGTTATGAAACTAGACATGTCTAAGGCATATGACAGAGTGGCATGGGGTCATATTATCAATGTTCTGAGAAGGTTCGGTTTTGGTGAGAGATTCATTGATATGGTTTGGCGACTGATTTCTAATGTCTGGTTTTCCGTCATTATAAATGGATCCTTATATGGTTTTTTCAAATCTTCGAGAGGACTCCGTCAGGGTGACCCATTATCACCAGCATTATTTATTATAGGGGCAGAGGTGTTATCTAGAGCACTGAATAATCTTGTCATGCAACCAAGATTTGTGGGTTTCAAAGTTCCATATGGATGCCCGTCTATTACTCACTTGGCATTTGCGGATGATGTTCTTATTTTTGCAAATGGATCCTCATTTTCCCTGAAGGCTATCATGAAAGTGTTAGATGATTATCAAAGATGTTCGGGCCAATTAATAAATGTACAAAAAAGCTGTTATCTAGTTCATCCATCTGTATCAATGGCAAGACGACGGCTGCTTGATCGCATTTCTAGGTTTGCCCGCAAGTCATTTCCAGTACGCTATTTAGGGTTTCCGCTCTACATTGGAAGATGCAAATCATCTTATTTTGGAGAAGTTTGTCACGCAATACTAGCAAGGATTCTGTCTTGGAAATCAAGGTTACTTTCCTTTGGAGGAAAAATTATTCTAATCAAGCATGTATTATCATCAATACCAGTTCACCTAATGTCAGCTGCAGTTATTCCCAGTTCGGTGTTAAAAACTATAGAAAAGGCATGCTCGGCATTCCTGTGGGGATCCTCACCCGAGGAGTCGAAGCTTCATTGGATAAGTTGGCCTCAATTGTGCTATCCAGTTGAGGAAGGGGGAATTAGATTTCGGAGATTATGTGACGTCTACATAGCCTTTTCCTCCAAGTTATGGTGGAAATTCCGAACAGAATCATCACTGTGGTCAACCTTCATGAAAGCAAAGTATTGTAAATGTCTGCATCCTTGTCAGGTAGAACTCAGGCCAACGGATTCGGCAATTTGGCGAAGGATGATCAATGTGAGCAGACAAGTGGAACTCTCAATATTATGGGTGGCCAAATATGGGGCGTGTCATTTTTGGTACGATAACTGGTTGGGGAGTGGTGCATTGTTTCTAAAGGTTCCGGTTATCCCAAATTTGACGTTCCGAAACTTCGTAAGCAACGGCCATTGGGATTTGAACCTTCTTTACCATACATTGCCAAAGGAAATTGCTTATTCCATTTCAGAACAAATGGCCCCAGAAGAAGGAAGTATAGCTGAAGTCATTTGGATGCCCACAACAACTGGAAATTTCTCTCTACACTCAGCTTTTGGGGATATTAGGCAGGCCCGA